ATGCCCTCACTGACCCGCCTGACACATAAATTCTACCATCCTGAAGGAAGGTGGGGTTCGCATGGGTTATGTGGGTGATCCACTCGCTGACACACCGCAGCATTACACGTCTTTGGGTCTTTGGGATGTAGTCCTCATTGTATAATGGCTCCTTCAAATATCAGCTGTTTCCTGATACAAACACAGAAACAAGCATAAACATAAATTACTGGTAGTTACTATAGCAACACTTATGATAAATCCTGTTTTTGTACCTGTGGTTGCAATATTACTTTGGCTGACATAAGAATCTTACGATGTGTATTATTTTTAATATACGTGAAATATTTAAAAATATATTTTAAAATATTATTGTAAATATAAGTAAGTTATCCATAAGGTTCTCCCCCACAAAAAAACATGGATGATTTCCTAGATATCAGACCATCTTCTATTGGACACAGCAAGACCACCTCTCTGAGGAAATCTCTACAGGCTGTTTTCAGTTGCCCCCCATTAAAGTGATTGTAGAGAAATTTACCCAGTCTTGTCCTCTTTACTCACAACTCCCTAAAGGTTGTGGTTTGATTTTAATCGACAAACCCTGGTGGTTGTTCAAATTTTTATGTTGTAAGAATGTGAAGACCAATTATGTTATCTCACCACAAAATTAACATGAAAGTAGAGGCTCTTTTTAAAAAATCTCAATCTTTCTTTTCCATTACAATCAATATAAACCAACCTTTAAAAAAAAGAAGAAAGAAAAGAAAGATGATCATGGAAAACAGCCACATTTGCATTTGTAGATTTTTTTAAGTGTTGCAGGCATGTGGCTGATAGTTCGTGGGAGGCAGAGCAGAATCAAACACAAGCTTCATCCCCAGCCGATGCTGGCACTCTGTGACAGTGGGAACGCTTCGAGTCTCTGAGCCCCCAGTTCCTTGTCCCTAGCTCTCAGGTGGGTTTGTGGGCAGTAACCCACTGAGGGCAAGTGTTCCACATCTTCATTGTCTCACTTCCCATCCTGTGAAAGTGGGTGGTCTTTCTAAGGAAACACACAGTTGTCATTCAGAGTGTGCTACCCCTTAGCACATTCAACTCTAAACATGCACAGAAGTTTTCAAGCCAGAGGTTAATGTTTACATTTACATTTAACTCAACAAAGATGTCATCTAAGTCACTACAAATAAACAGGCAAGAGCATAAGATTTCAAGAGAAAATAGTATTGGATATTTATCAAGTTTTGGAATTTAATTTACAATTATTATTACTTGAATTTAATGTATTTTGGTCACTTAAATTTTATTATTTGCAATGATCTAAATGATACCCAAGTCTTTTCCTGTGTCTGAGGGCAATCGCTGTTAGCTCTCTAAGATTTCATGAGATTGGCACATGCCACCACAAGATAATCTTTACAGAAAAACCACGGGACAGAGGAAAACATCATGTTGCTCACATAAGATTTTATATAAATAACAGTCTATAAATAATATGGCATATTCTAGTTTACATAGTACTTTTAAACACATTATGTGATTTGGTACAATCCCAGGAAGGTGGCCATTCCAAGTTAACATCTAAAGTGATCAGATGCAGAGAGCTTACAGGACTTTCCCGGGCACACTGTTAAAAGTAAACTCTGGGCTCTCAATTCTATTCCATTGGTCTGTGTGTCTATTTTTCTGCCCATACCATGCTGTAAAGGGACTATGTCAGATTTAAAAGTTTCTGCACAGAGAAAGAAACCATCAACAAAACAAAAAGGCAACCAACCGATTGGGAGAAGATAATTGCAAGCAACAGCTCTGACAAAGAATTAACATTCAAAATATATAAAGAATTCATACAACTCAATATCAAACAAACAATCCAATTAAAAAATGGTCAGAGAAGGGTCACAGACACCTCTCCCAAGAAGGTATATAAATAGCTAACAGATGCATGAAAAGATGATCAACTTCACTAGCTATTAGGGAAATGCAAATCAAAACTACAATGAAATACCATCTCACACCCATTACAATGTCTGTTATCAACAAGACAAGGGATAACAGATGTTGGACAGATTGTGAAGACAACAGGGCCCTCATTCACTGCTGGTGGGAATGTTAGCTGGTAGAGCCACTACGGAAAACACACGCACCCCTGTGTTCACTGCAGCGTTATTCACAGTGGCCAAGGCATGGAAACAACTAAGCGTCCTTCTGTAGATGATTGGTACAGATATACAACGGGGTACTACTCAGCCGTAAGAAAAGACGAAATACTGCCATTCGCAACAATATGAATGGACCCTGAGAATATCATGCGAAGTGAAATAAGTCAGACAGAAAAAGTTAAGAACCATGATTTCACTCATATGTGGGATATAAAACTGAAAGCAGCAAATGAACAAACAAGAAAAACAAACAAACAAAAACTCACAGACACAAAAACAGTGTGGTGGGTACCAGAGCGAAGGGGCTATGGGGTAGTAAAGGGGAAAAAGGTTCAAATACATGGTGATGGATGATGATCTGACTTTGGGTGATGGGCACACAATGCATTATGAATATCATGTATCACAGAAATGTACACTTGAAACCTATAGAATCTTATTAAGCAATGTTGCCCCCATGAATTTAATAAAAAGAAAAAAAGTAAACTCTGGTCCTTAAAGGCTTTGGTTCTAAAATGAATTTTGAAAGAAGCTCCTTTCACCACCACCATCATACCTCTCTGGCCACAGGGGTCCTCAGTCCTACAGGCTACAGGGACCCACGGTGTCCGTTTGTAACAACCCAAAGGGAATGCACAAATAGGAGGTGTCGAGGGGTCCTCAAGTCCAACTGTCATTCTCCCAAGTCACTGGTTCCCAGAACAACCGCCATTTCCTGGGACTGTCCTCCTGCTTCTGGAAAATGTATGTATGGGTACATTGATTTATCCACTGAAGAAATATTTACATAGCACTTTTGATATGCCATTCATTTTCTGAGGTACAAAAAAAATGCAGCATGAACAAAAGACTCATCTCCTGCCCTGATAGATTGGAAATACTAGTGCTGAAGATGAAAGTGTATCAGGCGATCCCACACAGGATGGTAAGTGCAAAGATGAGTAGTCCAGGGTGCTAAGAGGCAACTACCATAGAGAGGCCCCAACTCTGACTGGGTGGGGTGGGTAGGAGGAAGTGGCCTGAATGGACACATAATATTAGACATAAACAAAAACACTGGGGACAAGGAAGGCATTCGTCAACTAAAATAATGAGTAGAGAAGAGGGGAAAGAGGGAATAGCATGTGCAAATACCCAGAGGCTAGGGGAAGTGTGATGAGTGTGAGTTGGGTGAACTGTGAAAACCAAGATCTTTACCAGTTGCAAAAAGGAGCCTGGACTTTATCTTGACAATGAAAGGGACCAAGAAAGGGTTTTATACAGAGGACTGTTGTATAAAGGTCAAGGAAATCATTGAAGTAATCCAGTTGAATGATGACAGGGTGGTCTAAACTAGGTAGTGACTGGAAAAAAGTATGAAGATAGGTGCAGGAGATCCTTAGAACGTAGACTCATAGAACTGATACTTGATTGGATGTGGGGACAAGGGAGAAGGAAGAACCAAAGTATAATTCCAATAGGATGAGGGCCCCAAGTTCTTTAGCCCAGAGTGCCTTCAGAGAAGTAAGGCAGTGGCATTAGGGCCTCCTCACTGTTTACCTTCTACCTGGGACCTCCTCCTACCCCCTAGACACAAATGAAGATTTTCCTTTATTATATGAAACTATACTGTACTTAGCTCTGAGGGTTGCATATTTCTTCCTTAAGCTACATGGATTCAACCAACTTCAAGATGTTGCTTTACAACAAAAGAGAATTTTAAAAAATATATAGCATATGAAGCACACAGATAATTTTTAAAAGGTGAAAGATTTATATGATCTGAAGAGAAACCAGAGTATGCAACAGATAATTAAAATACATAACATAGATTGTGACCCTGAAAAAAAAGATACCTACTAAGCAGGGATCCTGGTGGCTAACTGGGCTGAAATTTTAAACAGCAAAGTCTAGCAGCCATTTCTGTACAGGGACCTCTCATGCAAACTGCACTTCAGGGAGAAGCCTGCCTTTGCATTGACCTGCCTGTTTTCTGTGTGTTTCTGCCATCTGAGCCATCCCTTATAAAGGAGTTCCTGGAATCCTATTTCAACCAACAGAACTGAGGCTTTCCTCATCCAAGTCCAGCTGCACAGCTCCAACAAACCAGAGCAGCTCTATTTTGACCAATCAGGACAGTGCTGTTTGGACCAATCAAACTGCAAGGATTTGGAGTCCTCATTTGCATGAGGATAGACCAATCAGGGATACAGGGGTGGGGACTTCAGTCCATGTAAGGCAGCTTCTTTCTGGCTCTGAGAACCATCTTTCCCTTTCCACTGAAGATTGGAGACCCAGGCTTCTGGGCTGAAACACTGCAGATGTCTCATTAGAAGAGAGCAGAGCAGAGCTGTCTAACTGGAGGGGGGCCTGCCCCCAGGGCTGCCTCAGAGCCATGCTGTTTTCACAGCTGTGTTGTATCACAGTTGAACTGTTTTGCACTGAATAAAGTTTCCTTCTTCACTGCACCCTAAAACAGGGATTTGTGTTGGCATTGTATTTGTACCAACGACCATCAGTTGATAAGATCCATGAAATTTGTCTTAAAGGGTGCTCAGAGGGGATGGACACAGCTTAGGGGCAGGAGTGAAAAAGCAAGGTCTCATTTGGCACAAATACATTGATGTAAACTGGGAGGTACTCATAAAGATATATTCACAATATTTAAAGCCACAATGAAAGAGAATGCCAACTTTTAATATTGAAGGTAGTCGAATCTCTCTCTCTTTTTTTAGGTAGCATAGGCATTACCCATTTAATTTACTTAACTAACTTCCAGTCCATGGGATCAAGCAGTCCAAGAAAAAGATAAGATATACTAAGCATGTCACGGCTGGGGAGAATGGATGTCTTTTCAAAGAATTCACATAAAATGGCTCATTAGAATATGTCATCTTCTTGGTTGTAGGACATGTCTGACTCCACGACACCAATACCTTCATAACCGTAGTTTCTGTCATTTGAGGTTGCGTCACTTTTGCTCTTCTTCCTTTTCAACAGCTTTCCTCCCTGGAGATCTGATGGTTCAAACACGGCAGAACCCACATGGTTAAGTCCTTTGGCAAATGGAACCTCAGCCCCACCTGGTTCAGTTGAATCTGAGAGATTGACTGGGGACAAAAGTCGGTCACTCTGTATCCTTTTTCTTTTTTCTTCTTTCATCTGAAAAGCAGTATTAAAGAGTGAAGAGGAGTCCAAATAATGCTCTCCAAGTCTTCATTAACATTGCTTGTATTTAACATTTATGGCTTCTCAGTTTCATGATTCAACAAAGCTAAGTGATTTAACAAAGCTAAGTTGAGGAATTACTGTTGAAGAGGAAAGATACACTCCCTAGCCTCATGGACCTCCTAGTTTAGTTGGAAAATCCCAGAAGAGAGAAGGAAATGAAGGCTGTCAGAGTGATGGGGACCACGAGTGCAGATGCTGCAGGAACTGATCCTCCCCTCAGATCCTACCCTCCACCCCCACACCTCCCCTCACCTCTAACCTCAATACAGTTTTTCTTTTCTTCCTATGAAGAAAACCCCACACTTCATTCTGAGAACTGGATATTGCTTTCTTAGGCTGTATGGATGAAACTAATTCAACTAACTTCAAGATATTGCCTTATTCCTTCACAGAACACATTAAAAAATAAATATACAGTATAAGAAACATACTTAACATGAAAATAATTAATAATAAATCCATGCAATTTGTCTAAAGCCTGTTGATAGGGAAGGCTCACCTCAGCAGGTAGACCTGCCCCCCGCCCCAGCTCAGGTACCTTCCTGCGCTCTGCCGCTGCCTGCATCCTCTCCTCCAGGTCCTTCCTTGTGAAATCCTTTACTTCCTTCTTGATCTTGAGTTTTTCCAGCCTGGCTGGTGGCTTTCTCAGTGGCTTCTCAGTCGTGTCCACCTGGAGGAAGACACTTTTTAAACGGAGAAACAAATGTATTTATTGGCAGAAAAGAGAAGGTAAAATAAATGTGGTGTAAAACATGAATCCTAGAACTGTGAACTTTCCAGTGTCAGATTTAGGAAAAAAAACAAAACAAAACATGAAAACTGGTAACAACAGAACTGAGACCTAAAGGAAAAAAACCTATTAGGTGCTGAAAAAAATAAAACAGGCTCAAAAAAGGAAGGAAGGAAGGAAAGAAGGAAGAAAGAAGGGAGGGAGGAAGGATATACTGAAACAGGGCAAGGGCTCAGGAGAAGGTAAAACACTTGAGAATAAACACAAGATAGAAAAAGGTGGCAGATGAGCAATAAATTTGTGATTCAAGGTAAAAAGTTAAACCTGGTGACTTTATAATATGCTACAAGCCGCAATGACTCTCATTTGGAATCCAGGTTAGTGTTCAGTAGTTCTGGTGTTGTCCTGGGAGAACTAACCACTCCTGAGCAGCAGCTCTGCGCTGGGTTTTGCTTTGCTACTTTACAAATGTTTACATGACAGCAGGAAAACCATCTCATTTCATATGATTGACAAATTTTAAACAGTTCAAAGCAGTAATAATGACTTTGTGGTTATAATTTTTTTAAGATTTTATTTATGTTATTTTTTGACAGAGGGGAAGCGGGGGAGAAAGAGAGGGAGAGAAACATCAATATGTGGTTGCCTCTCGTGTGCCCCCTACTGGAGACCTGACCTGGCCCGCAACCCAGGCATGTGGCTTGATTTGGAATCAAACTGGTGACCCTTTGTTCCCCAGGACAGTGCTCAATCCACTGAGCCACACCAGCCAGGGCTGGTTATAATTTCTAATTGCAAAAAAAGGTAAAATTCTTGTGCAGGATTTATCAAGAAAATTTTCACATATTTTTAAAATTAGACTTTTTAAGTAATATATATCAATTATGAAAAATTAAAATGATACTCAAATAATCTCCTAATACTCTGTTTGGCCATCTGGCCCTGATCATGAACCACTTTAATGCACATCTGTAATGTTTAATCAAACATAAATGGGATGATACCAGAGACACTGTTCTGTAATTTGCTTTCTTCACTTAATTTAATATGAACATCTATCCACCTCACTATACATAGATTTATTATAACTGGGAAGGTCTTAATGAACTCCAAGCCTTCATTATAAAACAAATTGAATATTATTTTAGATAATTTCTCTAAAGATGTTTAAAGACAAAAGAGATATTGATATCCATTGTAATATTTAAAAGACTGTCTCTCACCAGACTGCGAAACTGTAAGTACCAAGAAAATAAATCAAAAAGAGACAATGAAGCACAGGAGAAAAGGGCACGGGAGGGATCCGTATGGTGCGCAGAAAAACCTGGGTTTGCAGGCTGAGTCAGCCATTCAATTCTGTGACACTTGCCTTCCTCCTTTCTAAAATTGGTTTAATAATACTTTTGCATGGGATTGTTTTTCTTTTTTTTTTAAAAAAAGGGGAGTAGATGGTAGCCACTCAGTAAATGACAATTACTTTGCATTTGGTGAAAGCAGCGATGTTTTTCAAAGACAGCACATAGAATCATAACTAGTATGTATCATTTGTCACTAAACAGAGGAAAGAGAGTTGGAATCACAGGAGCCAACGGTCAGGGGCCTGGGCTTTAACCCCTGGCCCACCACTAATATGATGTGACCCGAGACAGGGCACCTTTTCTCTTTGCACTCAGTTTCCTCAAAGGTAAAAAGAGTGAGGTGACTGGTGACAGCTAAGCTTCCTTGTAGCTTTAAGATCTGATTCTTGGAAAGCCTTTAAAAGGGAAAATATGTGTCGAAATTTTGGCTCAGTTACATCCTTGAGACAGTTTTATGTAGTGAGTTGTTCATTAAAAAACAAACAACTGGGGTGTTTGTCCAAGAAACTCCCCCTCCCCCATCATTGTATTATTTTTATGACAATTGGCTTGTAGGCTTCCTACTGACAAAAGCCATCTCCTGAAAAAGGAATGTATTTGTTATGGAGGCTCAACTAGACATACAGTGAAATCAGTATGAAAACAGGTTTTTAGGGGAGTTTACTCATAGAGGACTAAAAGAAGATGGAATGGTAATCCAGGATCCTACAAAAGAAGGTTCAATCAGGCTTTACATAGGAGTCTGAACCTTGACTAAAATGATTAGATTGGTAGTTCTGAGAGAATTTCCTGTTTGGGTGGACTTTTCTTGTGGCTTTATCCCAAAATGATGCCTATAAAATCATCTACTTCCTCCCCATTTTGGAAGTTAATTCTACCTGTGCAACCCACATCCTTTCCTGAGTAAAGTATTGCAAGATTTGAGGAAAGATATCTGTATTCTTTACTACTGGATATTACGAAGTCAGAACTTATCAACTATTGGTACTTTAAAATGATAAAAAGGATCACATTGTACTTAGAGAGGTGCTACCCACAGAAACACTAAAAAAACCCCCAATTTTAAAACCTATCGAAGTTACTAGTTCCATCATTTTAAGAACACCATGGGAACACTGCCACACCCTAAGATGCCATGATAAAACTTGGGTCTTTTTTCCAGACAACCTACATATATATATATATATGTATGTATGTATGTATGTATGTATGTATGTATGTATATGTGTGTGTGCATGTATATGTATATGTGTATATGTATACATAGGTATGTATATATACACATACACACATATATGTATATATGTATATATGTATATATATTTACTAATAGTAATATATTATATAATATGTTATATACACATTATATATTATATATAATATATTATAATATAATATTATATATATATATAACTTCTTGCATCCACTGTGTATTCCTCAGAGCTTCCCTAATTAACTATAGACCTACAGATGAACCTACCTTGGCTAAGCCCCCTTACCGGAGTCCGGTGCACAGAGGGAGATCTGGCATTCCTGCCCTGTCACTGTTAGACCTCCTGGGGAGGCTGGTCTGAGTGTTAACTGGTGTTTACCCAGTAACTTCCTCCTCAACAGACTCCCCATGAGGTTCAACAAATAATGTGACTTTAATGTAATGTGAACAAACTCCCCATCTGCACAGAAGGTCACCAAACACAGAAGTTACGGGGCAGGGGATAAACCTTGAGCAGACAGGAGGAATCAAAAGAGTCTTATGTAGGGAGACTGAGGGCACCCTAAGAGACAGGGAAAAATAAGTTAGGAATACAAACACCTAACTTGGTTAATACTTATGTGAATAAATGATAGCCAATGACATCTATCTCAAGAGATTCGTCCCAGTCCTTACACATATTTACCTGTGTGCACAAAACCAATTCACATTTCTAGTACAGCCACTTACATCTCATTAGAATGTTTCAAAATATACTGATTCATGGTGCCTGATATTTAGCTTCTTAATATTATATTTTTCCCATACCATTATATTCTCTCTGAGAGAATGTAACATCTACTAGTATGAATGTGCCTGAAAGCAGGGCATTACAGAATTGTGAAAAAGATGGAAGGGGGCCCTGTGGTGGGCTCAGATACTGCCATGGACTTCTAGAGAGAGACTGGCTCACGGGGGCATCCCTGAGTCAGAGCATGAACGAAAAACCCTTACTTTTCAGCAGCCTTTATTACATGTCGCTCCAAATGTAACTCAATTAAAGGCAACAACCTGGCTAAGAAGGGGGCAGATTTATATCTAAAACACCCTTGTATTTAAATATACTATTGGACTGACTAAGGAGTCTTGTTTTTAATGTATCCTCACATCTATTACTCTGTTTGGTTCCCCATAATATTTACAAGGTTTTTTTAAAGTAATTAAGGAATAGTGTTTACATGTGTGGTTGAATGAAGTTAGTACACTGTAGTAACTGTAAACATTAACATCTCTTTTGCCCATACTCTTTTTGTTTCCCTTTACTCTGGCTTGTTTTTCAGCATATTTTATTATCTATTTTTGTTCCTAAAATATTTTTAAATTTAGGTAGTTCAAAGTATTCTTTAATAATATTTCTATTCTTAATATGGTTCTCCTTTCAGAATTTTAAGTTTAATTCCCACCTTTTACAGTGTCCTTATAACTTTTCTTAAAATGTATAAGACACCTGCTGTCTGACATACTTAAGTGCTCAACTACACCTGAATTGAAAGAAATTTTGCCTGTGACAATGAGCAATTACATCTCTCCTTCATTTCCACATGGTTCCTGAGCATAATCTTAGTCTTACACCAGATAATATGTTATATTTTCAGGAATACTTTAGAATTCTCTTTCACAATAAAATGGGGGATTTCACTGTAACGCTCCCCAGCTTTATGATGAACGTGAAGGCTTCATATATTGACATGTTTGCTGAAACTTCAGGACAGTGGTTCTCCATCTGGGCTGTCCATGGGAATCACGTGGGAGCTTTCAAACTACCACAGCTGGGGCCCAGCCCCAGCCACGAGGCCCAGGTGGAGCCTGGGCACTGGGAGCTCCTGGGTGATTCAAACGTGCACCCAGGTTAAGGACTCCTGCACTAGGCAACAAAAGGCACAGCTGTGTGGTACTGCAGGCCTCTTGCGAATCTGGTTTATGTTGGGGTATCTTGGCCCAGTTCCAAAGCAAACACAAGACAAAACAAAACCTTCCACAAAATACAAAAGAACTGTGTTACTCCTGCCTGCTTCTGCAGTCCTGTCACATTTACATCCTTTGGAGAACACTCCAGCTATGCTCCTGACAGCATCCCCTCTCTGTAGAGGATGAAAACAGCCTTCATCTTTGGCGCATTTAATGATGTTATGAAAATCGTGCCCATAGTTTTTATTCTTTTGTTTAAAGAGACATCTCTTTCATAATGCAGCTTATATTAATTAACTTTGTGGGTGCCCTTGCAAGGCCAGAGTCTGAACTCACTCATCCTTGGTAGCTGAATCACTGGAAAATGTTTTAATGTTATTCCCATTGGCATTAGCATCAAGGTTCCACAGCATTTCCCAAAACAAGGCATTGCTTAGATACTCAGTGTTTCCAAAATCTGTCCTCTTCTAGATTACTCTCCTGCCTTTTCCTTTTAACAACCTTTTTCTTTCTGACCATCCCCACATGCCAGAGACTCAGCTACAGCTAGAAAAACCTCTCCCCTCTATGTCCATATTAAAGGCACATAGTTTTTAATATTTTCAAACAAGGTACTCCAAAGTGCCTTGTATCATACCACTGTACAAATGTAAATTGTCATTATGTTGGCATTATTTTTTCCATTATATGGTCCATTTTCACCGACTCCTTTCCCCTATATCTTCTTATTATTGGTAGCCAGATAATATCATTCATAAGATTTAGCAATCTCCTTTTTTTCCACCCAAATACTTTCTTCAGGACTTATTTTCCTTCTTCCAAAGAAAATTCCACTTTAGATTTTATTGATGAGTTTTCAGCATTTCCTAAGCAGAAAAGGAAATTATCTTTATTCAAACACTAAGTGACTTGCTCTAGGTGGCAAACTTGATTTAAATAAAGCACATTTTTATCCTGAGTTGACTGTTTTCCCTATAATACAAGAGACATTGATATGATTTCTGATCTCTATTTCCACCATTTCTGTCTCTTTTTTCTTTCCCCTTGGGTTTCTTTTCTTTGTTATTTCCTCTTTTATCTTCTTCCTTCTGCCTATGCTTTAGGTACTGCCTCTGTGTGTGGGCTTTAAAAAAAGGAAGCAAAACAAAACTTGCTATCCTCGTCACGAATTTACACAGAACTTATTAAAAAATTAAGACCTCCATGCTTTCAGTCTACGTAGGTAAACATAGTTCACCTCCTTGAACAACCACATCAAAATTACAGTTAAATTATAGAACAACCATCACTCAGAGCCATCAGAAATCAAGTTGAATGGAAGTCTGACAACTATGGAATTAAAGAAACCACATCCATCCAGACTGGTAGGAATGGTAGAGATGCAGAATGGGCTGATCCTATACCCATGAGTGATGGATCAAAACTCAGGAAGGATGTTTTAGGAGCGATGGGTCCCATCCCCATACCAGGACCCCAGTTCAGGGTTCCAGTGCCAGAAATATAAATCCCCATAACTTCTAGCTGCAAAAACTAGAGGGGATTGAGTTAGTGGAGGAAACTTCAGGAGTCCCAAGCAGTTTCCCTTAAAGAACCCATGCATGGACTTACTCAGACTCACTCCCTCTGAACTCCAGCACCAGGTTAGCAGCTTGAAAGGCACTAGTGGCATACAGGGAGGAACTGAAGTGTCTGGCATCAAGGCAAGAGCTGGGAGACAGCTTTCTCCCAGACAGAAAGGCAGGCAGAGGCCATTGCCCTTTTTCTGGGTGCTCTCCCGACAGAACCAGCGAGCTGGCAGGCGGGTGCTATATCTGAGACTCCATCAACTTGGCTAGCACTGTTTGCGCTGTCCTGGAGATCCCCAGAGGCTTTGTCCTACCCAACTTACAGTTGTTAATCATGACTTTTCCATATGAATGGCTGATCTTGGCTCATGCTTCACAACTTCCTAAATCTTATCACAAAAGCAACAGTAGGCCTCAGTGAACCCCTAGTCCCCATGCCTCTAGCTAAGTGGCACCAGGCTAGCCACTTGTAGCAGCCAGCCTAGATTCACAGCTTGGCTTCACCTGGATATCACCAAGCCAAGCACAAGTAGCAGCCATCTCAGATTGTTTATAGCTCATGTGGGATGGCTCCAGGCAAAACACAGGTGGCCTGTAACACCAGGGAAACCCCAGGGCCTGTGCACCCAGTGGGCAGCTACAGACCATGTTGGAGCACCACCACCCTATCCCTACACAGCTGATCCTTCACAGAGAGCAAAGGTTGGTGGTCTGTGGTCATAGCCAATCATTGCGGCAGATTGGCCTGGGCAAATCCCTCCCATTGACCTGCCAACAGCAATCAAGGCTCCACTACAAGAGGAGGGCGTACTTAGCACTCATGAAGGGCTCACCTCAAGTACACAGTTTGGATGATAGGGGAGACTGTGTCACTGGACCCTACAGGACACCTAGTACATTAGGCCATGCCACCAAGACAGGGAGTCATAGTAGCTCTACTAAGTATATAAAAACAAACACAGGAGGGCTGTCAAAATGAAGAAACAAAGAAACAAGGCCCAAATGAAAGAACAGATCAAAACTCCAGAAAAAAAACAGCTAAACAAAGTGGAGATAAGCAATCTATCAGACGCAGAGTTTCCAAACACTGGTTACAAGGATGCCCAAGGAACTCAGTGGGGACCTCAGCAGCGTAAAAAAGACTTGGTCAGAAATGAAGGATACACTAATTGAAATAAAGAACAATTTACAGGGAAAAAACAGTAGAGGGGATAAAGCTGAGAATCAAATCAATAATTTAGAACATAATGAAACAAAAAACAACCAGTCAGAATGACAAGAAGAAAAAAGAATCCAAAAAAAACAAGGGTAGGTAAGCAGTCTCTGGGACAACTTCAAGAGGTTCAACATTCACATCATACAGGTGCCAAAAGGAGAATAGAAAGAACAAGAAATTGAAAATGTATTTGAAAAAATAATGAAAGAAAACTTCCCTAATTTGGTGAAGGATATAGACATGCAAGTCCAGGAAGCACAGAGAGTCCCAAATAAGGTGGATGCAAAGAGGCCCACTCCAAAACACATCATAATTAAAATGCCAAAGGTTAAAGATAAAGAGAGAATCTTAAAAGGAGCAAGAGAAAAGCAGTTAGTTACTTACATGGGAGTTCCCATAAGACTGTCAGCTGATTTCTCAAAACAAACTTTGCAGGCTAGAAGGGATTGGCAAGAATATCTGAAGTCATGAAAAACGGGGACCTACAACCAAAATTGTTCTACCCAGCATAGATATCATATAGAATTGAAGGGCAGATAAAGAGTTTCCCAGACAAGAAAAAAACTAAAGGAATTCATCATCACCAAACTATTTATTTTGTTAAATGTTAAAGAAACTTATTTAAGAAAAAGATCAAAACTATGAACAATAAAAGCAAAAAATACAAATCTGTCAACCATTGAATCTAAAAAAGAGACTAAGCAAACAAGAAGAACAGAGACAAAATCATGGATACTGAGAGCATTTTGATGGTTGCCAGATGGGAATGGAGTGTAGGGGAAAAGGTGAAGAGGTAAAGGGATTAAGAAGTACAAATAGGTAGTTACAGAATAGCCATGGGGATGTAAAGTACAGTATAGGAAATGGAGTAGCTAAAGAATTTATATATGTAACTCATGGTCATGAAATGGAGTGGGGATTACGTGAGGGAGTTAGGGGTTCTGAGTGGAGGGGGGCAAAGAGGGAAAACTGGAACAACTTTAATAGCATAATCAATAAAATGTAATTAAAAATATTAAGACTTCAAGACTTTGGCCACAGTAAATTAGAATTAGAATAAATATATTGATCACACTAAGAAAAAGCAATGATAGATCAGTCAAGATGAATCAATGAAGAAAGATAAGTGTGAAATGATTTCTATATTTATTTCCTCATATTTAACCTCATAGTATGTATATAAATATATAAGCATATCTGTTTCAGCTTTGGCATTTAGGCCTATTTTCTTATTGATTAAGTCAGAGTTCAGTTTTATATTTACAGTTTCTAGTACATAGGCAATGCATAACAAAAATTGATGAAAGAATGAGGCATGTTATTCAATGGGGCTTATCGTGTCTCAAATTTGGTAAAACCCAAGATGTGTTTTGCTGGATTCATTAATCATTAATGATTAGGGCAATTCTGAGTCTGTAGAGATGGATGGTGTGCAGAGAGGTGACAGAATTTATGGGAGAAAAACTGGCTTAGATAAATGCTGTCTGCATTGTGACTTTAAAATGCATATGCCAGAAATAACTTGTGATCAATTATATTAGATCTATTTTTAACTATAAGCTAATGTTAATTACAAAATTACTTGCCATGATATTGTACGATTCTCCATTTCTAGATACTTTGCTGTGGCTTTGTATTATTCCTTGAACAATTAATTCCTCTAGGATGTCTGATGACTTTTGTCGCTCTCGATTCTGTGGAGGTTGGGGTTTATGGATTAATCCATTGTTTGCTAAGTCTTCCAAGGGAAAAGAAACAAGAAAGCAAAATTTAAGCTTGAAGATATTGTCAATCAAATGCTAAATGGATGCCATTTAAGTCTTGCTTCTTAATTAAATCTTACACTCAATACTCTTACCTAAATACCTGTTTCTACTATAAACCTTTGAATCCTTTGAAATTCAAATTCTTAATGTTCTAATAGAGGATACATGTCAACATAATACACTGTTTACTAAGCAGACCCCATATTAACTTAACAAAAAGTCTTTCACATGCTGCCAGGTGCTACTTTTTTGTTGTAACAACACTTGTATACTTGGGTACAACTGCATGGGTTCTCCGTACTAATTATGAAGCTAAACCACAGCTAAGAATGAGATATTCTTTCGGTGACTCTTCTGAGTTGCAGTTGGTTACTATGCTTTGTATACAAAGGATAAACACTGTGGTGTTGCCAAGAGACTTCTACTTCTGCAACCTTGAGTTTACAATTACACCATCTGCTAAATCTATGTTAAGTAAAAATAGGCCTTTTTGAAAAGAGTTTTTGAACTAAATCAGGATTGGAGTCAAGTGATATCAGCTAAATTTTTATTAGTGACTCTAAAAATGGCACTGAAACAGTTTATAGAGGAACCTTTATAAACTGTCCTGAAAGACCTCCCCCATTACAAATCACTCAATTATATAAGTGAGCAAGGAAGCATCCATTTTAAAAACTTCATATTGTAAGATAACAATGCAAAGGGAGGTCATCAGAAACAAGCTCTCTTCTATTCTGTAATCATCAGGAAGTCTGTGGGGTAACCAAATCCATTCCTTCCAGTGGATAGAGTCTTTTCATGAAAATTTCTGAAGCAGCACTATATTAAGCACTTAATATATTTTATAACATCTGAGTCAAATATAACCTCTGTAAAAGAGGTATTATTATCCCTATTTTACAAAGAAACAACCTTATACAAGAGAGACTAACTAACTTGCTTAAGGTGGCAAGGGTAGTGAGCAAATTAACTAGGATTTGCACCCAAGTGTGACCTCAACAGCTGAGTTCTTCACCACCTCACTGCACTCTTCCCACTGACACCAAATGCATGGCTCCCACTGGCCACGGTCCACTTCTCTCTCAGGACATTTCTATTAAAAATGTCATTATGGACACCTGTCACACAATACAATTATTTTAACCATTTTGATCCATTCTTTTCTCCATCTACTGGAGTATTTGTCTTGACATTTACAGTAGCTAATCTACATAGAAATCTTTGGACTACATCAGTCATTTTGGCTAATTTTCATAATTTCTGGGATATTGAAGCATATTAGAGAAATGTTTAGAAATAACATTGTACTTCTTTTTAATTATAAACATAATATTATCATAAACTTGGAAATATTGAAAATAATAAAAAGATAGTAAAAATGTCCATTCTCTTACTATCAGATATCATCATTTTTAATATATAAAACTTTATTTTTATAAATGTACCATCACATTGAACATGTAGTTTCATTTCGTATGCAGTGAAATGTTTACATTAACATTTTCTCCTGCCTTTAGAAGTTCTTCACAAGCATAAGTATGGAAAGTGATGTCTTCCAAGAAAACGTGGGTGAATTTATCTTTAACCATGGTGTAAAGAAGGGCTTTCTACCTGGCTCAAAATCCAGATTTGATAAAAGAAAAAAAACTGATAAATTTTACTACATTGAAAACTTTGCAAGTCCAAAACTAAACCTCACAGTAAAAGTCAAATGTAGATATCATGTACCCCCAGCTGTGATGTGCTAGACAGGGATACAATATAATTTTTGGTATTCTTGCTAAAAATGCATCATCTGGACTTAATCATGAGAAATATAAGACAAACCCAAACTGAGCACATTCTACAAAATAAATGGTCTGTATCTCCAAATATATCAAGGTTATGAAATACAAAGAAAAGACAAGGGAATGTTCCAGATCAGAGGAGACTACGGCCACATGGCAGCTAAATTAAACATGTGATCCTGAATTAGCTCTTGAACCAGAAGTTTATTTATAAAAGGCATTTGTGAGACAATTGACAACATCTGAATGTGGCCTTTGGATGAGATAATAGTACTGCATCAGTGGCGATTTCCTGACTCAGATCCTTGTCATGGGATTTTGCAAAGCATGTCCTTGTTTCTATGGAATACATGCTGGCTTATTTAGGAGGAAACTATCATTATGTCTGTAACTTACTCTCAGAGAAAATATACTTGTATAGAGAGAGGGAGAGAGGGAGGGGGGATAGAGAGAGGGGGAAGACTATGAAAGTGCAACTGTGGTACAATGTTAACATTTGGGGAACCTGGGTAAAAGAATATAGGCATTCTGTGTTTCTGTCTGCCACTTTTCTTCAATCTAAAATTATTCAAAATAAGAAGTTTTTCTTCCAAAAGGAAATATTTGGGAAATAGGAGTGTGAAATTTGAAATTTTTAACAAATATACTCTGCAGCAAGCAGAGGTGAAATTGGGTAGAGAAAAATATAAAGCTCAGGACACTAATTCTTTTTCATTCTGTGATAAGAGCTTTCTTAAAACTAATTTACACTTCGTTTTGGAAACATCTGCTTTGGTAGCTCACTCCCTCCCCAAGCTGGTCTCTTGTAGCACTGTCCTCACCACGCCCCACCGCCGCCCCCATGGTCCTCCCCATCCTGCTTTCAACAGTGTAGGGCTGACGGGGCTGACGGGGGCTGACTGTCCCAGGGCACACCCAGGTCCCTGTCCACCTGGCAATCTGTAGTTTGTTAACATCATAGATAGCGAGCATTCGTGCTGCACTGTGGGAGGCATTCCCATCAACGGAATTTGCGGAGAGAAAAAATTCAACACACACACAGACGGAGAGGCCGCTTGGCGCTGCATCCCTTCTCCTGCCTCATTCTCAGAGACCACGTCTGCACCAGCCGGAAGCACAAGTCAAGGGTGAATACGAAATTTGTGACAACCTGAGTTGCACGAGAGTCCAAGAAAAAAAAAATCTCATTTATAACCTTTACATTTTCTCATTCTAACTTGTACCTAGGGAAGAATCTACAGTGATGAAGAATTAAATGAAAGCCTTTGCCCCAATAAAAGACAGTAGTTTTCCTTGAGGTCTGGTAAGTTCAATTGGTTTCAAAGGCTGATAAAATATAAATAAGAGCTTTTATATCAACCCAAGGGGGTAAAGGGAGTGAAAACATGCCATAAGAAAAATATTTGGAAGCACATAGTTTCAAGGGGCACACTAGGTCATAATTACTTTTATGCTTTTGAAAGATTCTTTCATTGTACATTTACTGGTACTTTGGATGGGAAGAAACCAGGGAAACAGTTTGATGCTGGTTTTGTTTTATTTTTTCAAACATAGAAATTCCCCTTGGAAAAATGTTAACATAGTGGGAATGTAAAGGAATTTAACCAAAGCCCATGTAACTTCTATTCTTAAGTCCTATTTCCAGCCACCAATGAGGCTTAGTTAAGGGGGGAAAAAGATGGTTTAATTACTGCATGAGCAGGAGAGTAATAGTTAGCATTATTTACTCACACAATGAAGGCCTAAGGCTAAATTCTAATGTCTTAGAGAAGGGACCTTGACATTTAGAACATTCCCTGGCCCACAAAGCTGCGGCAAAGGGACCACCAAACACATATTATGAAACATATTTGGAGAAGACGTATTTTATGGAGATTAACACGAGTCGGGGCTTTTACCTAAATTTATTCTTCTGTTTCTTCCATTAGGAGATGGGGAACTTTCTGGAATGGTTCCGGGTAAGCTTTCCAACTGGACCTGCTTTTCCCGGCTTTCGGGGCTGCCCACAGAGTCCTTGCACAGCGCAGCCTCTGGCTGGGGTCTTCGGTTCTCCCCGGAATGAATCACACCCACATCCGCCTGTGAAAAGGGAATCGTTTTGGAGAGTCAAGATTCTTAGAAAATGGTTTCTCAGAAAATGAAGACAATGTCACAAGATTGGCTTTGTGGAAGTTTAGCTAGCTAGTATCTTTGGTAGGCGGAATAGTACCCAGTGGCCTACAGATGCTACCTTACTTGGCAGAAAGGACTTCACAGGTGTGATTAAATTAAAAACCTTCAGATGGTAAGATTAGCCTGGACTGTCCAGGTGGAGACTAAATGTATTCACAGGGTCCTTAAGGGAGGGAGGCAAAGGGCAATTTCACTATGGAGGAGGAGGTGATGTGACAAAGGAAGCAGAGGACACTTTATAAGATGCCACAGTCCTGGTGATGAAGACGGGGAAGGGCCACTGGCCAAAGAATGTAGGGAATGCAGCCCTAAAAGCTGGAAAGGCAAGGAAATGTCCCTCCACAGAGCCTCTGAAAGAAATCAGCCTTGCTAACCTCTGGACTTTTACCCCAGTGAGACTGATTCTGTACTTCTGACCTCCAATACTGTGAGAATACAATTATGTTGTTTTAAGCCATAAATTTATGTTAATTTGTTAGAGTAGCAATGGAAAACTAATACACAGTTGACCCTTGAACAACAGGGGTTTGAACTGTGTGGATCTATTTATACACATAATTTTTTCAATAAATACAGTCAGCCCTGTCTGTACCCATGGGTTTTGCATTTGTGGGTTCAACCAAACATGGATCAAAAACAGTTTTTTTAATTTGCAGTTGGGAATGTGCACATTTGGAAGGCTGGTTCTATGCATTCTTTGGCCCCATTTCACATAAGGGACTTGAGTATCCTCAGATTTTAGTATCTGCGGTGTGTGTGTGTTGGGGGGCGGGGGGGTGGTAGGGATTGTTGTCCTGGAACCAATCCTTCATGGATACCAAGGGACAGCACATAAAATTGGGGGGAATTAAAAGTTATACACAGATTTTCGACTGCAAGAGGTATTGGTTCCCCTAACCCCTGTGTTGCTCAAGGGTTGACTGTGATATCAGATATGAATCAGGTACAAGCTGTTTGCTGAGCATTCTGAAAGATACAAAAATTAACAAGTTCATAATCATCAAGTATAAAAAATAAAGATACTGCTGTTAAAAATTTTTTTAAATTTAGTTCTCATGAGAGGATTTGTTTATTGATTTTAGAGAGAGGAAAGCAAACACTGATGTGAAAGAGAAACATCAATCAGTTTGCCTTTGGTACGAACCTGAACCTAGGTATGTGTCCTGATGGGGAATCTTTATGGGATATTCCAATTAAGTGAGCCACCTGGCAGGGTTAAAAAATTTTTTAATGGGACTAACTTCATTGTTTTTGCTGATTAAAAAAGTAATACAGAGGCCTAAAAGTGATTAGTAATATTTAATGGTGTAAAGCAATTATTGTCTGTTTGCATTGTAGCACATTATGTAATCATGTCGCATCTCAGTGAACCGGATTCTTGTGAAGGCCACCAGGTTGTTTCAACTTTTCAATGTAACAAACAGTGCTGGCATAGTGTCTGCGCATATGCACCAGCCTGAGTTCACCCACTCACCCACGAGGAAGAATTCCTAGACGTGGACCTGTCAACACGTGTGTCCAGAGGGCCCTCTGTAAATCCTACACTGACTTGCAGTCCCACCTTCTGCTTTTGAGGATGTCTGTTTCCTCATATCACAACTCCACTGCTTGTTAATAGGTCAAAGCACAGTGTGAAAAGGGGCCGTGTGTGATTTAGTAAACCACTGACTTAAAAATGCTGGTTGGTGTTAATGTTCAATAGTACTATAGCAAAAGTAGAAAAGTAAGAAAAAGCTAAATTAATTCAATTGATAGAACTGGCATTTATTTTTAGAAATATATATTAAGTACTAAATATGTTCAGGAAAACTTTTCTCGTATCTCCTCTAATGCCACATCCCCTCTTGCCCAGTGTTGGCTCTTCTTTCATTGCTTGGTTTGCAACTTTCCCACTTCTGGTTCATTAGGAGCTTCTAGATGTTATCAGCCAACCTCTTCTCTTATCTAAGACACATACCAGAGGAAGCCTCTTCAGTATTCTCAGAAGAGATTAAGAACATGAGCATCTTCTGCAGAATATTGCCTTCTGGCTATTCTTATTTATGTCTATGACTTTGAGTTTCTCACCCAAAAGATGCTCTTCTCCCCTGAGTCTTTGAGGGGCGTCAGGATTCCACCGCCCCCCCCAACTCCTGCACTTTGCAGCACAGCCCTGATATACCGGCACAAGTTTGTATCTTTTGGGGAGTAGCAAAATGAATGAATTTACTAATGAATGAATTTCTAACGAGCAAAGAGGAAAGGTCATTTTAGAAGGAAAAGCACACACAAACATGAAACAATATTGTGTGTCCACAAACTTGAATTGAACCTGAATTATGCCATCATAGCAGAAACAGACTGAAATAGAAAGTGGCAGATGCTGAGGTGGGAAAGAGAAGTCTTTTGTGACAAGTAAAAGAGTTTGATTTTATTTTGAATGCAACAGTAATCCTTTGTAGGACTGTCATATGTGGAAATAAAATAAACCATCAGTTGTGTTTTTTAGAAAGCTCACTCTTGAGATAGTGCAATGGCAAGAATTCAAGGAAGGAACAAAGCAGGGCAGCCAGTTACAATTGTCGGGTTAGTGTCCAGGTCAGAAGTGATTAAACACCAGCTAGGACAGCGTCAATAAAAATGAGGAAAAGCGGTGGGCTCAGAAATATTAGAAAGGTAGATAACAGAGCTCAGAGAATTTTAGTTTGAAGGACAGGGTCCCTTCTGGCTCTGAATTAGGACTCTAGAACTAAAGAGAAAACATCCCTTTATAAAACAGGAAAACAATAAAACATAGGACACTAGCATGAAACACCTGATATTTTTACAATAAAAATCAGACAAATTTCGTAAAACTGAAGGCTATTTGACTACTTTCTAGATGCACTCCCACAGGTGAAGTCCCTCAGAGGCTAAGGAGAAAGCGCAATAGCTAGGCATGGCTCCACCCCGCTCAGGTTCTCTGAGTGCAGGGAAGGGACTCTCCCAAGTTCTGACTGCACACAGCTCCTTATCACCGAGCTTATGTAACATGATCATTCCAGCTAAACCAGCAGCAAGTTTATTGTACTGAGGATTAATTAGTCCTGTGGCTCAGGACTACATGGGAAACTAGGGAAAAAATCAACCGACTGAACAAAGTAAGCAGACGAAAACTCCACAGATCAGAAATAAGAATTGAAAGCCTGAGAGCCCCTATGTGCCTTTCTCCTCCTCCCGCCATCTGTCTTTCTTCACAGACACCGTTACTGCCATCCAGCCCCTGTAGAATAAACCCACTGGGAAAAGTCTTTACAAATAACATGTGACATGTTATTATATTGTTATGTAATGACTATTATTACATCAGACAGGGTCTCCTTTTCCTTTGTCATGTATAACATACATGCAGGGTGGGGCAAAAGTAGGTTTACAGTTGTGAGCATGCAAAACAGTGTATTCTTGTATTATTATTTATTATTGTATTATTTTCCATATGAACAACTGTGAATCTGATGTTGCCCCACCCTGTGTATATCAGTTCTGCTTCATTGTTGTTACTCACGATGAAGGAAAAGGAGAGCCCACCTACTGCTAATCTTTCCGGGGTTCTCAGTTACTGCTGAATGTGAAGACCGCAGTGAGCATTCTTTCCCCTCTTCCCAGATGGACTATCAAAACCCAGTGTCTGCAGTGATAGTAAGACAGATATTTTCACAAGTTCATTTTGTTTGCAGATCTCTCTTTTATTGAATTAGTGAAGTACTAAATAACACACAGGGATTAATTTTGCCCTCTCACATTTCCCACTGGAGAACTTAAAAAATTTAACTGACTTAACAATAACAACAATAAACAAAATGCCCACATTGGAGCTGAGAGCAAATCAGGATATTTTCAGTCTAAAAGGTGTCTTTTCACAAACATATTCTGATTGGAAGAGATTTAAATGTGACAACCCTGAATGACAGACCTCCTAATTGTTTCATGGAAGTGACTAATCCAAGCTTTAGCAAGGAGTTTTACCCACTTACACTTACTTGTATACAATCTGCCTTCAAGCTCCGTGAGTGGCCAAAACTTCAACTGTAGCAGATGAAACACAATCTTTCAGCATAAAATAATATATATCAGCCTGCAGTAGCCACAGCAGAAATTTAAGATTTTTCTCTTTTGAAAACTGAGAATGTCTTTTAAATATCTGATCTATGTGCAACCCATTTTGGAAATCTTAACCCAATTTCATAATCTAGATTTGGGAGTAGATATATTTTAAAGACTAGAGATATTTACTAATTAAATAGACCTATGCCTCTCAGCCATATGTCTAAAATAGTTTTCTTGTTCTTCCTGTGCATGCTGCATTTCTATTTCCACACCAGTAAGTCTATCTGCAGTGGGACTGGGGGAGGCACAGGAAGGGGGGTGAAAGGTTTTATCTTTTTCCTTGAGATGAAGTTGTAGCAGAAGAACAGACTCAATGCCTTTCTACATTTCGTGTCAATTTTATTTTGTACTTCATTGTCTTGGTGAAAAAATTTGATCAATTTCACACAACATTGAAAAACTGAGAATGCCAAGCTGAGGGCTATGCATAAGAACAATCAACATTCCAAAAGGGTACTGACTTAACTGTAGACAGGGCTGGGTTTTGTTTGGTCTAGGTTGTCCGCAGGTGTCATATGTTTTCTGAAGCTTTTGGGAAACAAATTTTCCAAACAGCTTGGAGGGCATCATTTGTCAAAGCTCCCTGGAGCATAAACCTTCTTAAATTGCATTATTGGCAGATACAGTTTATAAATATATTTGTCCACACACATAGAGGAAGAGTTTGTTCTTCAAAATTTATTTTTTTCTAGTTTACTCTAATGAATGAAATAATAAATGGTAACTCTCCAAAAAAGTCAGAAATACGTCCGTCCTTCTAAAAATTGGACTTTATATCTGTCCTTCTAAAAATTGGACTTTAGAAAGTATTTAGTCCCATTAACTGACAATAAACAAGAATTTTCTCATCAAATATTAGGGGAGAGTATGAAGGATCCCTGGAGTCTATTCCAGTATAGCCTGTCCCTTTTTATAACAAGCAGAAACTTTGAATTAATCACATAGAAAGAGATTTCCCCAAAGAAGAAAAGTTTCCCATCATTTCTTATTATGCATTTTATTGCAGTGATTTCTCACCACTTTAGACTAAGGTAAGGTGAAGAAAAAGTCTACAGGCAGATCTCAAGAAGTTTGATTCAGAATATTTTACAATTGTGCCACCAAGGAACATAAATATTTCATGCAAGCAAACATGTTCATCTGATTTTAAAGACACTGCTGAACTACTGAACTCACAGCCCCAGGAATTTATGAAGGTAGTGGAAGCAGTACTGTTCTGATAGCAAGTGTTTAACTAGTAATTATACCTTTCCCAGATCTGATTTCCAAAGTCAAGTGCTTGGGGTGGGGAAAGAGAGATATATGCATGAGTTGACTTTGAATCTATTTTCGGGTTATTTTAATACTGAATTTCTCCTTGCTGACTGTCCTTAGTCTGGTTATGTACTAGGAGAGAGGCAGGCACTAAGGAATGGGAGGGGCTCGGGAGGACATTTTGTTTTCTGTTGCTTTTGGAGAGAGAGGAAAGGAGAAACACTGATGTGAGAGAGTAGCATTGATTGGTTGCCTCCTGGATGGATACTCCCAAACCAAAGACAAAACTGCACAGACAGGAACCAAATCGGCAATCTGGCATGTGACCTTGCTGGGAATGCAATTACAGCCTTTCAGTTATGGGCTGACGCCCCAACCAACTGAGCCGCACCAGGCAGGGCATAGCATTGCAAGTTCTTGGCTGGCTGATGGGAAAGTCCATGAGTGATAGGGACCGGAGAGAAGAGGATGGTATTAGAGAGATTAGTAGGACCAAATGTCAAGAGTTTTGCACACCTCAGAAACTTTTTTTAGGAAGGTAGGCAGCAGTATGGAAGGCAGACTGGTTAGAATGATGACAGGAGAGGCAGACAGACCCAGAAGGAGGTCGCTGGGCCCTACAAGCAGGCAGTGGCAGCTGGCGTGGAAAGCAGGTGTTTTCTGCTGAACTCCCCCAGGGCAGTAGGTGCTAAGCTTGAGTCTCTGCCTTTACTAGACTCTGGTTTGTTTTTTGACTCCACGAGCCAAGCAGATGTGCCTAACACAGAGTAGGTGTTGTAACTGATACTGGAGAGTGTCTTGCACATCACCTGTGGATAGGTGTGTGCCCTTTAAACTGTAGTTCCAAAAATGACCTTTAGGAAAGGTGACAGGATGGGCTTAAGTCAGACCATCTCAATCTATTATCAGTGTTCTCTTTCATTCTTAAAAGCATCCTGCTTTTGATGATAAATTTTATGGTAACATTAACTTTGGGGAACCCCTCTCCAGGAGACTCTTGTGGGTTCCTAGTTCTGTTTGTGGAATCTTGAACGTGGTGAGGATGGGGAGAAATCATGGACCTCATTTCTGCTTGGACCAAACTGTCCCTCCATTCCCCACCCTGGAAAAAATTCCCCTGTAGGTCTCCAGAAGAATTAAGGAAGACGCTACCTTGAGGGAGAGTGGAAAGAGTATTGGAATGACTTTTGAAGATTAGACTCTTTCTCCAGCTCTGCACTCCAAACCAGCTGTGCAGCCTTGGGCAAGTTGTCTACTTCTCTGGGCCTCGGGGGCCCTCAAGAGGCAAGGGAGCTCTCTTCCAGCTCTAAGTAATTGCCAAAGGACCCACTGTCTGGAAGCCAATAATACATGGCAGGTCCCAGATGCTCTCACCTGTCCCTGAGAATCATCTTCAACCCCAGCTCTGTACACAACGCACCACTCCTCCCGTTATTCCTGCCTCTGCCTCTGCCCTGGGGTGACATCACTTTTGCTAGCTCTTGAAACAAAAGACTCTCAGAGCTGGTCCTGTAGCAGCAAGGATCCTGGATAAAACAGCAGTCAAACACTGCTGTTGGATAAAGTTGGTTCCAAGCCGCGCCCCCTACATACAAGCCATCCACTGTGAGCCCCACTGACCCTGCTCAGACCCACTCCAGCCTCCCCCACTCATGGCAAAGGTTTTTATACTTGTTTTGTCTGTTTTACCTTGAATCCCTCTTCCCAGCCCCTCCTGGGCGTGGGGACGAATCTCTGTTTCTCAGCAGGCTGGGAAGGTCCACAGCCCATCCTGCTCGCTGCGCGCTGCGCGCTCCTCCTCTGACCCGGCTCTGCCGTGTGCCCCTCGCGCTCTCACAGCCGCGGCCCTGCCTGGACCCCAGGGCCCCGCGTCCTGCACCTGCGCCCCAGCGCCTCTCCCGCCTCCAGCAAGGAAAGGTTCGGCAGGAGGCACTGACACCTGGGCAGTTGCCGGGAACTGTTGCCACAATAAACCGAATCACCAGACCCTGGGACTTTTGTAACCGAGAACCAGAAGATCGGAGGCGTCTAATTCACAACTGGGATGCAGATTACAGCCCTCTCCAAAGCGAAGTGAGGGGAAGACCCGCTGCTGGCCGTGTGAAAGTACCGTAGTCATAAGCATCCTGCATGAACTTCTATCCTCCTTTCTGAGGCACAGTGGCATTCACCCCCACCTCCAGTGCCTGGGCCACGCACTCCATTTCTTGGCTTTTGTGCTTCGGACTCCGTGGGGACTGATTATGAAAAGGCAAGTTAGGAGTCAGGTGGGCGGAAGCAGCTCTTGAGGACCGGTGGGAAGTGAAGGCGCCCTGGACAGCACTGGACGGCGGTATCAGGATGGCCACCGGAGAGGACGGTCACACAACCAGAGATCCAGATATTTAGGATCATAAACATCTCAGCAGCCGAGAAACGGGTCATACAAATCATTTTTATGGAAGATGTATTTTATGAGCAGTTAGGAAAGAGCATGGATATGCCTATTTCTTTAAGAGAATTAAATTAAAACGGTGTAATGCTTCAAAAAAGGCAGGCCAGGCAGACTGCTCAAATGAGCAACATTTTTTCTCTTTATTCTATTTTCAATTAATTTTTACTTTCGAAAATTAGAAACAAAATACTTTCGATTTACAGATCGTGGAGCAACCGCTTATTTTACAGGCTGCAAACTTGGGCTCAGAGAGACTGAGTGACTTAGATGGGGAGGCGGAGTCGGGGGCGGACCGGTTACTGAGGAATTTGGGAAGAAGAACCAGGTGGCCTGACTCAGTCCCTCCAGGTGTCCACCCAGAAAAATACCAGTAAGAATTCTTGGAAATGTGACACTGTTGGATCATTCCAGGGCAATTAATGGTCAGCTCTATTATAAGAAGTGGATTATTTACTTTGTAGTATTTAAAATCATTTTCACTCTCCTTATTGCTCAGATGATGTTGTGTGCCAATTGTTCTTTACTAAAATTGAAAAAGAAGAAAGACGAAATTCAAGAGGAAATATGAAAATCAAAGCATTATAATTATTGAACAGCGAGCATTAAAATTTTGTGACTGAAGAGTTGAAAGAAAGCTCAGTAGTGTTTGGAGAGTATCTCTGAAAAACTTAACTCAAGGTATATTAAGTCACATGAAATGTTCCAACTGGAAACTGGAAATTTTTCAACTAGAATAATCCAACGCAGAAGACACCTATAAAACGTTGTTGAGATGGTTTAATGAAAGTTTGTAAGATGAACTATATGAGTAAGGTACTGCAGATAACCTCCCCCACCTTTTAAGGCAATCTGTGAACAGAGGTTTGCTGGGCATCCCTGTGAATAAATGGGGTGGTACCCAACTGTATTGTACAGGTACCTTTGGAAGCACACTCTGACTACAGTCCAAAGTCATGGAAATGCCTTTTTCCAGGGATGGGCTAGTGCCTGCTCATGCTGCCTCATGAACGCTGATTGAGTAGAATATTTGGACCTGGTCATTAAACACAGCCATTATTAAAATTTAGATTATATAAACTTACAATTACATGAGTTCTATTAAAAACAAAGGCACCAAATACAACTCATTAGTTTCTAAATATTTTATTACAGCTTACTATATCATATTTTTTAGTTTTTTAGGTCTGTTGTATCTGTAGAGTGGAAACGTCACATCATGGTGTGCTGCTCTGTTATCTCTCTCCAAGTCCATGTTCAGTGACATCATATGGGTAGTTTGAAATCACCCAAGGTGGAAGTATGTGCACCATGAAAATCAATAAATACTACAAATCAGGGCCTTTCCCACCACTCCCCCACTCCCAAACTGGTTATTAAATATCGACCCACTGCCTTTTCCCTTACATTGCAGAATGCCAAGGGCTGACTACTCTGCTCACTCTTCTCCCCCACAGACCTCTCTCTACAGTGAAGTGGCTTCAGTCACTCCAGCGCTCCCCACAGGATGAGCATCATTTCCACATCTCCCTCCACACAGGAGCTGGGGCACTACACCAAGGCTCTGTGCTTGGGATCCTTAACTAGCATGCTGTGATGCAGGATAACCTGTTTCCACCTTGGAGACTGCTAGAGGAAAAAGTTCTCAGATTATCCCCGAAGCAGGGCCATCACTCACTCATTTTAAAGTTTTGCTACTACCCTTGATTTTTTCTGCAACTCTAAATAATTCTGAGAAGGTTACTTCTCTGCTTCCCTCCAGTATATTTATTTAAGCCTGAGGTTTGTGTTGAGCTTTGTTTCTCTGGAGTGATAAGGATATTATAAAGAAAAGTGCCGCTCAAACTTTAATGAACACACCCCAGGGTCTTGTTAAGATGTAGATTCTGAGCCCTGGCTGGCGTAGCTCAGTGGATTGAGCGTGGGCTGTGAACCAAAGTGTTGCAGGTTCGATTCCCAGCCAGGGTACATGCCTGAGTTACAGACTATAACCCCCAGCAACTGCACATTGGTGTTTCTCTCTGTCTCTCTATCTCCCTCCCTTCCCTCTCTAAAAATAAATAAATAAAATCTTAAAAAAAAAAGATGTAGATTCTGACTGGTTATGGGGGGATGCAAATACCACATTTCTAAGAAATTCCCAGGGATGCCATCGCTGTTTGTACAGGATCACATGACATAGGAAGAGTATAGGACATGTATGAACACTAAATTATTACTTCAAAAGACAGAAAAGAAAAAGGGAAAATGGACAGAAGAAGAAAGAAGTGAGGGGGAAAATGATGGGGGAGAGTTACAATCAAGTCTATTAGGCAGTCGGTTATAGGAGGAAACAGACACTGACTTCATTTTATCAAGGTATTCTCTGTCTAGGAAGCAACTTGATGCATTGAATTACAAGAAGGAGTGTAATACACCTGAGTGTCACACCAGTTTTCTGTCCTGCTACCTGGTGGAGAAGGGATCTTTGTGTGGGTCAGGGTGAAGACCCACCCTCCGTCAGGGTGAAGAAGAAAAGAAAACCCTTTCATGCCATCACCCAAGCTCTGGAGTCCCTTTCCCTTCTGCTCTCTGTTCTGAGAGGCAGTTTCCCTTCCCGGGATGGCTAATCAACCAGAGAGCACAGAGGTCTCCCTGCAGGCGGTAAGTACACTCAGGCAGGGTCAGCACTGCGCAGCAGACAGGTTTCAAACTTCACATTGAAACCTTCCCAATTTCACTTCAGACTCTGAGCTTTTCAAGGACATGGGAAGTCACATAAATAAATCAGTTTTGAACCCAACACCAAATTCACCAAATTTACTGGCATTCTTCCTATGAATAGAAATATTATATGCTGACCTGTACTCCCAGACATATATCAACTAACTAATTATTACAGTGACAGCTGACATTTTTGATGCTTGCTAATGTTTAGGTAAATGAGGGGAGCTGATGGCGATGTTGGTATTTTTATTTGAACAATTATTAGCTTAGCAAGGACTGGAAATCTATGTCCCCCACCCCCAGGCCACTGCCTGTCTTTGATACATGAGTTAAGAATGGAGTTAATTTTTAAATAGCTGGGAAAAAAAGAAAAAACATTATTTAGTGGTTCATGAAAATGATATGAAATTCAAATTTCAGTGGCCATAAGTAAAGTTTTATTGGAACACAGACACTTGTGTGTTTATACATTATCTGTGGCTGCTTTTGTGCTATAAGAGCAGAACTGAGTAGCTGTGACAGGGACCATATGGGCCACAGAGCCAAAAATATTTATTGTCTAGCTTTTTACAAAAATGTTTGCTGATCTCTGATTTAAAATGATAAATTCCCACAAGGGTATTAAATAACTACGTGAAACTCTAATGGGTTGAAAGAGTCTGTAAGTCTTCCAGAAGGGCAAGAAAACCTGCTGGGGACTAGCTGCCACACGGGGGAGTGTATCTCATTAACTAACTGAACTCCAGGCCTGTAGGGCATTTTAAGTGGCTTCATTCAGCTGCTAAAACCCTGCCATACTTTGCTTGGTGCACCCTGTACAACAGGAGGGCTACGGAGTGGGACGAAACTTTACTGTGCTGCTCTGCTGCTTTGCCTCCTGCGTGGGCGTGCAGCGAGCATTGCAACTTCTGGGAAAGAAAAGAGAGCGCCAGATTGTAAGAAATGGGGTGGCATTTCAAAAGTCATCTTGAATTTAAAGACCTAATTTCAAAACCCCATATTGTTCTGGTTCTGCATGTTCCTTTGTCACACACTTCCACCCAAACATTGTATTTCTGGAAAACAGTCCTCTGCCTCACACACACACTGAGCGGCTCAGATGCCAGGGGCCTCTGAAGTTTTTCTCTCTTCAGAGAGGATTCTCTCTGGAATCCTCTGGGGCAGGTTGCCTCAGTAACGTACCAAGAATATTTAGAAAGCTCACAAGTCTGTCCATAAACAGCTGTGTGATAAGCTACTACTAGTAAAGGAAAATTGTACCAGAATATTGTCATTAAAACACACATACACAACAACACATTTGCATAACCAAGAATTTTGCAATCCATGTGCAAACACTTGTAATAACACCAGAGATGAACTAACGGAGTTGCCTCAAATTATAAAGTGCAAGTGTATTTTGGGTATCCCTTCAAGGGACTTGATATGACAGATTCTTGCAGAGAACAACCAGAAATAAATAAATAAGCCCACACACAGGGGAACAATTGTTTGCCAAACCTTGGCATTAAGCCAGCAATCTTGATGTTTGCTCATTCAACACAAACTGGGTAAATACAGAGAGAAAACACCACTCTCAGGGTAATAGCTCAGAGTGGCGGCTGAACAGTAAATTTAACCATAATGATCTCAT